AAATAAATAACCAAAAAATTAAACTTAAGTACCTGCATTAAAATCTCATCACGCCATAACACAATAGTAAACGCCTTAACCACCATATTTGAAACCCCATAACGCCATAGCCCAAATGGTTTGAACCTTATAACACCATATACTAAGCAATTTAAACTCCACAATTCTATAATTTGTAATCATACGTGAAATATCTTTCAACGGAGAATAAAACAAAAGTTTCTAATAAATGTGGACTACATAACTTGATAATAACCTAGTTTTGTTTATTAAATATAAGAATATCCTCTCACATGAAACCTAACCTAACCTAACCTAACTTAACACAACCTAGCTTTTATTTCTAAAATGCAAGAAGATCCTCTCACATGAAATCTAACGTAACCTAACATAACCTAGCGTTTATTTCTTAAATGTAAGAAGATTCTTTTACATGAAATTTGATTACAAAATTATTTTTTTTTAATTCTTCGGCTTGGTCATTAATTTTTGTTTGGCCGTTTTGGCTTCCTACTTTCACTTGTTCCTTGTGGTAGTCAGTCAGGCCAGTCCGGCCATGTTCAGTACTTAATAACTGTGATACCATTCTTCCCAAATATTTATAGTGACAAATCATTTTTATTTAGAAAGGAGGTTTGGCAAGTGAATTGGAAGAACAGCTACAAGCGTTAGGAAATAAGTTGAGAAAAGAAAATACGGAAAAAGGGAAGCTAGAAATTGAATTATCCCTTCGATCGTCAAGTGAATACAAGGTAAACGAGTAAATAATAAAAAGATAAAATACCCTGTGAGATTTATAAATAAATTGCAATCACGTAATACTTTAACGTAAGGTACTTACGTGTAGAAAAAGTTAAAACTAAATTAATGGTTTTAAGCTTTAACTTGTTCTACAGATCGATGTAAGTCAGAGATTCAACGAAAAATCATTAAAATTAAGTGAAAATGAGGAGAAAATAGTTTCAAATGCTCATCACAAATGGAAACTTAGAGCCGCTGAAACCGAATTTGATAAGAAGCTAGAAGGTAAAAATCCCACTTAGTTATAAGTAATTACCCATTTACCATACTTCCATTAAAATTCATTTACTTCTTACGAATAAGCTGAAATCGTTCAGTATACACTCTCCACGTATTTCCACTGAACGAGATTCCGTCAAACGTTATTGTTCAGTTAAAAATTGACTCCGTGGAGAATTTTGTGAAAAATTAACCATAAAAAGTATATCTTGTTATTTATGCAAATTAAACATAGCTAGTTAGTCATAATTTTGAATTCCTTCGCCTTTTCCATTTATAAAATACTGTCATCATCATAAGATCGTCAGTCCTAAGACTAGGTGGACACGCACCTCCACTCCTTCCTATCCTGAGCTAATCTTCGCATTTCCCTAAAAGTAGAACATCCCACATCCTTAACTATTTGCGAACAATAATTTAATCTAGATCTAACTCTACTCCTCTTGACTCCTGTTTCTGCCTGTAATACGTCTCTGTCAAGACCTTCATGTCTAAGAAGGTGTCCTGCTAACCTATCTCACCTATTTCTTATTGACTTCCATAGAGTCGTCTGTTCTTCTATTCTTTCTAATACCTCTTCATTTCTAACCTTTTCTACCCACGTTATCCTCATCATTCGCCTGTAACACCATATTTCGAACGCTTCTAACCTCTTCTTTTCCGCCGCGCTCACCGTCCATGTCTCAAACCCGTAAAGCGGCGCAGACCAAACTTATACCTTTAAAAATCTTGTTCGAATTTCTAAATTAATCGTTCGCGAGCGTGGAAGTGACTTTTTTTTATTGAAGGCGACTCGACCCTACACTATACTCTGCTTTATATCCCTACTACTCCTTGCGTCTTGACTTATCTAACTTCCTAGATACCTAAAATCAGCCACTTCTTCTAATATGTCGTCTCCTACCTTAAGATCCATCTTTCCCTACTTTTTCTTCCCTTGCATACCAGTTTTTTTTTTACTTTTATTTATGAACTATACTGTTTTGTCAATACCGCCCCCATGATTATGGCTATCTATAACTCCTCCTTGCTAAATACTAGTAATGGTATATCATCTGTAAATCTAAGCATACCATTCTTTTGCCCCTGTATATCTATCCGTACAGTTGTACTGTCTTTAGTGATGCTGATCGCGTCTTCGATGTATAGATTAAAAAGTAGCGGTGACAGTGTACATCCCTGTCTGACTCCCTTCGTAATTTTTACTTCCCCACGTTGCAGCCCTAGCTCTATCTGCCTGTTGCTCTTTATACAAACTAAGTATCACTCTTCTATCTTTGTAACTCATCCCTACATTTTTAAGTATATTTAACATCTTGTCCCATTTAACATCGTCAAAAGCTTTTTCTAAATTTACAAATACTATGTAGGCTCTCTTTCCTTTTTTTACCATTTTATTTATTGTTACCCGTAAAACTAGAATGGCCTCCCATTCTAGTTCTTCTAAACCCAAATTAATCTTCCCCTTATAGTTCTTCCACCCTTTTTCCGTCCTTCTCTGTACAATTCTAAATGTCCGGCAGCTATCTGCGCCTCTCTTTGTAGGTATGGTTACCAAGTTATGTTTGTAATCTTCTGGAACTTTCCCCGTCTCGTAAATGTGACTAACCAGCTTATACATATGATCTCTAGCCTCTTGTCCTGCATGTTTTAAAACTTCCGCCTGTATCTCATCTGTACCTGGCGCTTTATTATTTTTTTAAATTTTTTAGTGCTATATCGAACTCTTCTCTCATTATGGGATAACTTTGCTCATCTACCTCTACACTCGTGGCCTGCGTATAGGTTCTTTAAGTATTCTTTCCATCTGTCTGCCTTTTCCTCATTTTTAATCAAAATGATCCCTACCTCTTTTTTTATTTTATTACTGCTGTACCCTACTTCTCTAAAATTCCTTTTAATTGTATTATAAGCCTCGTCCGTTTTACCCACTTCGAACTTTTCTTCTACTTCTTTACACCTCATATCAATTCACTGTTCTGTAGCTTTTAATTTTCAATATTTTCTAATCAGCGTTTAAGTGTGGTGTTACATTGATAAACAGCAGAAGGAGGATAAAATTAGCCTGGCACTATATGTGGTTCTAAGGTCCTAACGCAGACGTTCATCCTCAATTCCTTCTGCGTAACAGGACCGTAACGTCGGGCTTCAAATTGCGTTAGTTACTTTATGGGCAACTCCCAACATACATTAATTCACTAAGTATACAAAAATTTTCCTACAGAACTAAAACGGATAATGGAAACAGTATAAACTATATTATCTTTTTGGGATTTATATACACATAGATAATTAATTTTAGAAATATTGGACCAGAAAGAAGAATACCTGCAGGACATAAAAGACCTTACAAAGATTGTCCGTGGGCAGGAATTACAAATTAAACACCTTCTGGTCATAATAGACAAACTGAGACCGCATATTGAATCGAAGGTATGCAATGGGTAACGGCCTAATGTGGTGCGTCAATTTTCGATTTATTTCCAATTGCAATCGTGAAGTAAAAGATTACAGTTTTATTTTTTTTACGATATTTAAAATTTGGTCTTACCTAATATACACATCTTTGCCGGTGGTAAGCTTCGTTTACTTTCTGTAGCGATGTGACCTTCAGTTTTACCGGCGCAAAGTAGAAAAGAACAGCACTGGNCGTATAGGTTCTTTAAGTATTCTTTCCATCTGTCTGCCTTTTCCTCATTTTTAATCAAAATGATCCCTACCTCTTTTTTTATTTTATTACTGCTGTACCCTACTTCTCTAAAATTCCTTTTAATTGTATTATAAGCCTCGTCCGTTTTACCCACTTCGAACTTTTCTTCTACTTCTTTACACCTCATATCAATTCACTGTTCTGTAGCTTTTAATTTTCAATATTTTCTAATCAGCGTTTAAGTGTGGTGTTACATTGATAAACAGCAGAAGGAGGATAAAATTAGCCTGGCACTATATGTGGTTCTAAGGTCCTAACGCAGACGTTCATCCTCAATTCCTTCTGCGTAACAGGACCGTAACGTCGGGCTTCAAATTGCGTTAGTTACTTTATGGGCAACTCCCAACATACATTAATTCACTAAGTATACAAAAATTTTCCTACAGAACTAAAACGGATAATGGAAACAGTATAAACTATATTATCTTTTTGGGATTTATATACACATAGATAATTAATTTTAGAAATATTGGACCAGAAAGAAGAATACCTGCAGGACATAAAAGACCTTACAAAGATTGTCCGTGGGCAGGAATTACAAATTAAACACCTTCTGGTCATAATAGACAAACTGAGACCGCATATTGAATCGAAGGTATGCAATGGGTAACGGCCTAATGTGGTGCGTCAATTTTCGATTTATTTCCAATTGCAATCGTGAAGTAAAAGATTACAGTTTTATTTTTTTTACGATATTTAAAATTTGGTCTTACCTAATATACACATCTTTGCCGGTGGTAAGCTTCGTTTACTTTCTGTAGCGATGTGACCTTCAGTTTTACCGGCGCAAAGTAGAAAAGAACAGCACTGGGCCAGAAAAGGAAGGAGACAACTCTCGGCCAAACTCTTAACCGGTGAGGTGCGTATAATCTGTACAGTACTGCACGGAAAAGTTGACCATTTTATCCACTACACTTGCATTGCTCAAATGTGCTGTTATTGGTATCATTTACTACTTAAAATATCAACGCGATGTTTATTTATATTTGAAGACATATTAAAGGCTTTAACGCTTGTTTTCGATTCGTACTACTATTCATGATTGAACAAAACTTTTGGCAGGTACTGTATGAAAAAGTAAGGTTAAAGAACAAGAGTCGAGAGTATAATGAGCTTTTTTCTCCTTACCTACGATTTTGCCCAGCGCGCATCCAAGACATTGGAAGGGGCACATCGCAAGAGAAAGTAAATGAAGTATAATGTGCAGATTCAGAGAATTACATATGGTGATGCAGTGAGTAAGTTACTGACGCGATTGACGTGTTAAGCGTGCGCAATAGCATTCTCTATCATACCAGGCGACATTCGACGACCTTCCTCTGCTACTCTATTTTAATACGTCTATTGCTAAGACACACATGTTCGACTTGAAAAGTACATCAGTAATATCTGACCACCAATAATGGTAATTTTCAAGTACTGTGGCATATTTCACATCAAGGCGTATTTACCCATATTACAGAAAAGTCTGCAAGTAAATACATATACGTTTGTATTTATACTATGTTTACAGTGAAACTTCTTTGGGCATAATATATAAAAATGTTGCCCGTTGTCAGAATTCTTAATAACTCGTCCTAATTTCCACAAAAAGATTTCGTTTATTTCATTTATGCCGGCTAGTAATAATGATGGACTGGTAGTCCACTCTAGTCGAATGGTTAGATGGTAGGGCGAAAGTGCTCTTCATCCTTCTTCTAAGAATCATGACAATAGGTAGATAGTGGTTGGAGAGAGACATATGACACGAGTAAAATGGGAACAGAGGGGAAATTAAATGTTATCTGTGAAAAAGAACACCCCAGGAGTTACCTAAATTACTCGTTCCGCCGCGCCTGCTGATTATATTACCTTTATGAACTGATTTTTTTATGTAATCGTGATGATTCTCGTTGAATGATTGATCACATGCAATACCACCGGCATTAGATGTAATATAACTATAGGCATTTTGTTTAAAGTTTTATATTCCTACTGCATATGACTAAACGTTATCCGATCTTTCGTCTTACTGTACGTAAATAAAATATAGATTGCGTAGGATGAAAATATAAAATTCTTAAAACTTTGCCTATATTAACAGCACAGTAATGAGAGTGCACAAAAACTAATGTAAGGAAGGGAACAACAAAAATATTAGTAACAGATCGTCTCATAACATAACAAAAGTAAGGTATTTCAAAAGTGCAAATACGAGATCATCATGAGAAAATTTCTTTAGAGTATTTTATTTATGATAATTATCTGTATTTATTTTTTACAACTTTACTGTTTCCATGTATCCAAGGAACAAGTAAACTGCAGTCTTCCGTTGGAATTCAAAGATTTAACACAAGTAGAAACTCAAACCAACGAACAGCCAGAAACAAAAGTTGAACTTAAAGAAGCGTATGTTCAAACTGTGGATCAGGATGTATCAACATCTAAACCAAGAAGTCCAGAAAATCGTTCAGAAATGCGTTCCGTAATTGATGTTCTCAGAGAATGTGCCGAAAATGTTAAAACGATCTTTAGAACTTCTTCTTCTGATTATTCATTACGCAGTAGCTTCAAAAGGCAACCTGAAATTCGATTTGCCACATACACAAGTGAAAAACTAGCTGATATTCCTGATAAATATATTGGGAGTAACAATACGACTTGTCTGGAGCAGCTACCGAAGGAGGAGGATTCTAAATCAGAAACTCTTCCGCATTCGAGCAACTGTCATCCCTTTTGTCCACTGATGAAACCACTTCAGTGTTTGCTTGGGTTGGCCAGACATAAATCAGAAAGCGTCATAACAGTAAGGAACAAGCAACAGGCCATCCTTGATAATATCGCCGCCAGTTTTAAATCCAATGCGAGGGCGGGGCTTCTACAACTGAAGGATTTACAAGACACAAGTAAACACATTACATTTGCTGCGGAAATCCATGAAACATTTCCTATACCGGATACGGATAATTCTCCAGATACGTCAGAAGGAAAAAGCTGCGGATCTTCTAAAAAGGAAGAGGAAGCAGACGCCAACGTAAATGCTACGGCAAAACAAGACACGGAGGGATCACAGTTTCTTTCGAGTTTGGATGTACTCTCTACGGTAAATGAGCAATCAAACGAAGAAAACTCATCTAAATCCACCAACAAACAAAATCGAACACCTTCTACCAATGATTCCAAAAAGTGTGAAGATGACAGTATAGAAGAGTCTTCCGGAAAGAATAAATCTAACTTTTCTAAGAAATCAGATAGATCGTCAAGTGGGTTTGTCAAGAGTCAACCAAAAAGTACAACTTCACAACAGCAATCTTCAAAATCTGCAAAAAGCTTTAAACAACAGAAACAATCTGGTTTACCAGAGAATGAGAAAAAATCTTGTAACTCTTCCACAACTGTTCGAAAAAAATCGGAAATAAACGCGTACGATATTCCTAAGTCGGAAAAATCATTCTGTTCCAAAAAACAAGAATACATAGTTAACTATTTCACTAATGTCAAACCAAAATCAGAAATACCTTTGGAAGATAAAGACCAGAAGTCTGAGAAATCAGCCTCCAACAAAGGCCATAGGTCAGAAAAGTCTGTTTCATCTGCTACACAGAAGTCAAAGACACTTCACAGTGACATCAGCATAAAAGAGGAAACGAACTACAATTCTCAGGTACAATCTCATAGGACCTCCATCGCATGCTTTCAGAAGTATGAAAAGGAACCTGACAATTCCACAACTTCTTCTAATAATGTGAAGACAACGAGTATTGTGGACGAAATCTTACAGAAAGAAATGAATATTATAAAAAAAGAACTGGAAGTCCTCGCCCGTAAATTTAATTGGAAGTCAGGAAAACCCTTGACAGAGGACAAACAAAAGTCAGAAAACTCATTGTCTACAAATGCTCCTCTCGATTCTTTAAAATCAATAAGTAATTGTCCAAGAAACTCCGAATTATCCCTTACCGACAGTGAACAAAAAACAGAAAAAAATATCGAACAACTAACTGAGAGGTCCTTTACAAGGGACGAAAGAGAATCTGAACCCGTAACGGCTGCTAAGGAACAGTTGCAGGTGAATGAAAACTGCTTAAATTTGATTAAAGATTGTTCGCCTAAACATGTAATATCAACCAAATGCAACAGCAGTCCGACAACGACCACATTGAAAGTAGAAATGACTGATACCGAAGGTAAACTTCATCAGATCAACGCAACATTTGAGAGTTCTGACGAACTTCAAGGAATCATAGAGATTGACGACAACTCTGTTGTCCATGTGAAATTGCTGTGTGGTAACGTGTTTCAGCAAAGTGCGATCGGTATTGAAAAAATTTCCGATGATATTGTACAAAATTACGAAATTAAACCATACGGTGAAACGTCGAACGAATCGTGCATAGAGTCCGGTAAGGAAACATTCCAGGAATGTAACATATCTGGGGTTAAAGTTTGTAAAAAGAAAGGAGCTATTGCAGCCAAAGCCTTCTCCGTTACGTCTGTCGTCACTGAAATACCCATGGTCAGAAGTACGAGCAGTCTTGGTATGTGTGCAGAAATGACTGACAAATTAAAGGCAATTGTCACGGAAATGGATAAGAAACTGGAGACGCCGGAAGGAAAGAAAGAAGTACTCGATTCTCTCAGATCATTGTGCAGATTACCTTCATATGAAGATGCAAGTCGTGCAAACAGCTGTTCAGAATGTTAAAGAGTTTTAAATTACTTCAATTAAACTATTAATATCTATAATATTGACGTACGTTACTTATTACATCTTACGTTAAATAAATTTGTTGCCAGTATNTCATAACGTCGTCAGTTCTAAGACTAGGAGGACACGTACCATATCCATATATTTAAATGGACCTTGTAGCATACGTAATCCTAAAATGTAGCATCGTACTATAGATGGCGTTTATCGCGCCATTTGTAGTATCTTCTAAAACGCGCTGTTAAGACAGCAGGTAAAAGTTGGTCTGTGTTCTGTCGGAGCTGTCTGCGACGCGCTGATGAGATCCTAAAAGATCGAAATCGCGATCCGCGTCTGGCAGTTTCGACGGAATACAGACCACTTCGAATTATTTTATTCGATTATTGTAACGTGCTACGCCAGGATTCGTTTCAGCAAGTAAATATCCATATATTTAAATGGACCATGTTGGAACATACGCAATCCTAAAATGTAGCATCGTACTACAGATGGCGTTTACCGCGCCATTTGTAGTATTTTCTTTACTTTTATTTATTTTCATACAGTACTGTTTCGTCAGTACCGCTTCCATTTTATTTAAAGTTATCTCTAAGTTCATAGCCAATAATAAAAATATGTCATTTTTCGAAATGTCGTGCATTTAGACGAATACTTGGAGAGACAACTAGACACTGCCAACTCCGATGGTCTTGCTCTGTTAACAATTATTCACAAACAGAAGGCCAAATACACCCAAGAACTTCATGCACTTTTCCTGGCAAACAGACAGTTAACAGAAGAAGTCGAGCAATTGCAGAAAGCCGTCGATGAAAGAGAAGCACTTTTACATAAATTCATGTACCAGAAACATTCCACTTTGAATAGTGTTAAATCTGAAGCGAAAACCGATGTAACTTTAAGTGACACGAACGTATTCAATTCTCAGAAATCTAAAAGTGGATTGGTCCGACGTAAAAAGGTATTTAATTGTATAAATAATTCGCACAATTAATTGGAAATGAGTAGGGAAAGACAGTATACTATTTTCCAATTTCTTGTAAAAGAATCTGTAGGTTTCGAAATGCACACAAAATATGGATAAATATCAATAGAAAACAGCAATGTGCTGCTGGTTTTCAGACTGACCGTTGCTTAGAGATTTTCTTCTGGACTTCGCCAGCATGACGGTGACTGTTGTGATCATTGATTCAGCCCAGACCGCCAATTGCTTGTGTCGACGAAATGTCGAGAAGAAAACTGCAGATGACGGTCAACAAGCCCGAAAACCAGTAGCATATCAAACAACAACCGCAAAAGCCAAATAAATAACCAAAAAATTAAACTTAAGTACCTGCATTAAAATCTCATCACGCCATAACACAATAGTAAACGCCTTAACCACCATATTTGAAACCCCATAACGCCATAGCCCAAATGGTTTGAACCTTATAACACCATATACTAAGCAATTTAAACTCCACAATTCTATAATTTGTAATCATACGTGAAATATCTTTCAACGGAGAATAAAACAAAAGTTTCTAATAAATGTGGACTACATAACTTGATAATAACCTAGTTTTGTTTATTAAATATAAGAATATCCTCTCACATGAAACCTAACCTAACCTAACCTAACTTAACACAACCTAGCTTTTATTTCTAAAATGCAAGAAGATCCTCTCACATGAAATCTAACGTAACCTAACATAACCTAGCGTTTATTTCTTAAATGTAAGAAGATTCTTTTACATGAAATTTGATTACAAAATTATTTTTTTTTAATTCTTCGGCTTGGTCATTAATTTTTGTTTGGCCGTTTTGGCTTCCTACTTTCACTTGTTCCTTGTGGTAGTCAGTCAGGCCAGTCCGGCCATGTTCAGTACTTAATAACTGTGATACCATTCTTCCCAAATATTTATAGTGACAAATCATTTTTATTTAGAAAGGAGGTTTGGCAAGTGAATTGGAAGAACAGCTACAAGCGTTAGGAAATAAGTTGAGAAAAGAAAATACGGAAAAAGGGAAGCTAGAAATTGAATTATCCCTTCGATCGTCAAGTGAATACAAGGTAAACGAGTAAATAATAAAAAGATAAAATACCCTGTGAGATTTATAAATAAATTGCAATCACGTAATACTTTAACGTAAGGTACTTACGTGTAGAAAAAGTTAAAACTAAATTAATGGTTTTAAGCTTTAACTTGTTCTACAGATCGATGTAAGTCAGAGATTCAACGAAAAATCATTAAAATTAAGTGAAAATGAGGAGAAAATAGTTTCAAATGCTCATCACAAATGGAAACTTAGAGCCGCTGAAACCGAATTTGATAAGAAGCTAGAAGGTAAAAATCCCACTTAGTTATAAGTAATTACCCATTTACCATACTTCCATTAAAATTCATTTACTTCTTACGAATAAGCTGAAATCGTTCAGTATACACTCTCCACGTATTTCCACTGAACGAGATTCCGTCAAACGTTATTGTTCAGTTAAAAATTGACTCCGTGGAGAATTTTGTGAAAAATTAACCATAAAAAGTATATCTTGTTATTTATGCAAATTAAACATAGCTAGTTAGTCATAATTTTGAATTCCTTCGCCTTTTCCATTTATAAAATACTGTCATCATCATAAGATCGTCAGTCCTAAGACTAGGTGGACACGCACCTCCACTCCTTCCTATCCTGAGCTAATCTTCGCATTTCCCTAAAAGTAGAACATCCCACATCCTTAACTATTTGCGAACAATAATTTAATCTAGATCTAACTCTACTCCTCTTGACTCCTGTTTCTGCCTGTAATACGTCTCTGTCAAGACCTTCATGTCTAAGAAGGTGTCCTGCTAACCTATCTCACCTATTTCTTATTGACTTCCATAGAGTCGTCTGTTCTTCTATTCTTTCTAATACCTCTTCATTTCTAACCTTTTCTACCCACGTTATCCTCATCATTCGCCTGTAACACCATATTTCGAACGCTTCTAACCTCTTCTTTTCCGCCGCGCTCACCGTCCATGTCTCAAACCCGTAAAGCGGCGCAGACCAAACTTATACCTTTAAAAATCTTGTTCGAATTTCTAAATTAATCGTTCGCGAGCGTGGAAGTGACTTTTTTTTATTGAAGGCGACTCGACCCTACACTATACTCTGCTTTATATCCCTACTACTCCTTGCGTCTTGACTTATCTAACTTCCTAGATACCTAAAATCAGCCACTTCTTCTAATATGTCGTCTCCTACCTTAAGATCCATCTTTCCCTACTTTTTCTTCCCTTGCATACCAGTTTTTTTTTTACTTTTATTTATGAACTATACTGTTTTGTCAATACCGCCCCCATGATTATGGCTATCTATAACTCCTCCTTGCTAAATACTAGTAATGGTATATCATCTGTAAATCTAAGCATACCATTCTTTTGCCCCTGTATATCTATCCGTACAGTTGTACTGTCTTTAGTGATGCTGATCGCGTCTTCGATGTATAGATTAAAAAGTAGCGGTGACAGTGTACATCCCTGTCTGACTCCCTTCGTAATTTTTACTTCCCCACGTTGCAGCCCTAGCTCTATCTGCCTGTTGCTCTTTATACAAACTAAGTATCACTCTTCTATCTTTGTAACTCATCCCTACATTTTTAAGTATATTTAACATCTTGTCCCATTTAACATCGTCAAAAGCTTTTTCTAAATTTACAAATACTATGTAGGCTCTCTTTCCTTTTTTTACCATTTTATTTATTGTTACCCGTAAAACTAGAATGGCCTCCCATTCTAGTTCTTCTAAACCCAAATTAATCTTCCCCTTATAGTTCTTCCACCCTTTTTCCGTCCTTCTCTGTACAATTCTAAATGTCCGGCAGCTATCTGCGCCTCTCTTTGTAGGTATGGTTACCAAGTTATGTTTGTAATCTTCTGGAACTTTCCCCGTCTCGTAAATGTGACTAACCAGCTTATACATATGATCTCTAGCCTCTTGTCCTGCATGTTTTAAAACTTCCGCCTGTATCTCATCTGTACCTGGCGCTTTATTATTTTTTTAAATTTTTTAGTGCTATATCGAACTCTTCTCTCATTATGGGATAACTTTGCTCATCTACCTCTACACTCGTGGCCTGCGTATAGGTTCTTTAAGTATTCTTTCCATCTGTCTGCCTTTTCCTCATTTTTAATCAAAATGATCCCTACCTCTTTTTTTATTTTATTACTGCTGTACCCTACTTCTCTAAAATTCCTTTTAATTGTATTATAAGCCTCGTCCGTTTTACCCACTTCGAACTTTTCTTCTACTTCTTTACACCTCATATCAATTCACTGTTCTGTAGCTTTTAATTTTCAATATTTTCTAATCAGCGTTTAAGTGTGGTGTTACATTGATAAACAGCAGAAGGAGGATAAAATTAGCCTGGCACTATATGTGGTTCTAAGGTCCTAACGCAGACGTTCATCCTCAATTCCTTCTGCGTAACAGGACCGTAACGTCGGGCTTCAAATTGCGTTAGTTACTTTATGGGCAACTCCCAACATACATTAATTCACTAAGTATACAAAAATTTTCCTACAGAACTAAAACGGATAATGGAAACAGTATAAACTATATTATCTTTTTGGGATTTATATACACATAGATAATTAATTTTAGAAATATTGGACCAGAAAGAAGAATACCTGCAGGACATAAAAGACCTTACAAAGATTGTCCGTGGGCAGGAATTACAAATTAAACACCTTCTGGTCATAATAGACAAACTGAGACCGCATATTGAATCGAAGGTATGCAATGGGTAACGGCCTAATGTGGTGCGTCAATTTTCGATTTATTTCCAATTGCAATCGTGAAGTAAAAGATTACAGTTTTATTTTTTTTACGATATTTAAAATTTGGTCTTACCTAATATACACATCTTTGCCGGTGGTAAGCTTCGTTTACTTTCTGTAGCGATGTGACCTTCAGTTTTACCGGCGCAAAGTAGAAAAGAACAGCACTGGGCCAGAAAAGGAAGGAGACAACTCTCGGCCAAACTCTTAACCGGTGAGGTGCGTATAATCTGTACAGTACTGCACGGAAAAGTTGACCATTTTATCCACTACACTTGCATTGCTCAAATGTGCTGTTATTGGTATCATTTACTACTTAAAATATCAACGCGATGTTTATTTATATTTGAAGACATATTAAAGGCTTTAACGCTTGTTTTCGATTCGTACTACTATTCATGATTGAACAAAACTTTTGGCAGGTACTGTATGAAAAAGTAAGGTTAAAGAACAAGAGTCGAGAGTATAATGAGCTTTTTTCTCCTTACCTACGATTTTGCCCAGCGCGCATCCAAGACATTGGAAGGGGCACATCGCAAGAGAAAGTAAATGAAGTATAATGTGCAGATTCAGAGAATTACATATGGTGATGCAGTGAGTAAGTTACTGACGCGATTGACGTGTTAAGCGTGCGCAATAGCATTCTCTATCATACCAGGCGACATTCGACGACCTTCCTCTGCTACTCTATTTTAATACGTCTATTGCTAAGACACACATGTTCGACTTGAAAAGTACATCAGTAATATCTGACCACCAATAATGGTAATTTTCAAGTACTGTGGCATATTTCACATCAAGGCGTATTTACCCATATTACAGAAAAGTCTGCAAGTAAATACATATACGTTTGTATTTATACTATGTTTACAGTGAAACTTCTTTGGGCATAATATATAAAAATGTTGCCCGTTGTCAGAATTCTTAATAACTCGTCCTAATTTCCACAAAAAGATTTCGTTTATTTCATTTATGCCGGCTAGTAATAATGATGGACTGGTAGTCCACTCTAGTCGAATGGTTAGATGGTAGGGCGAAAGTGCTCTTCATCCTTCTTCTAAGAATCATGACAATAGGTAGATAGTGGTTGGAGAGAGACATATGACACGAGTAAAATGGGAACAGAGGGGAAATTAAATGTTATCTGTGAAAAAGAACACCCCAGGAGTTACCTAAATTACTCGTTCCGCCGCGCCTGCTGATTATATTACCTTTATGAACTGATTTTTTTATGTAATCGTGATGATTCTCGTTGAATGATTGATCACATGCAATACCACCGGCATTAGATGTAATATAACTATAGGCATTTTGTTTAAAGTTTTATATTCCTACTGCATATGACTAAACGTTATCCGATCTTTCGTCTTACTGTACGTAAATAAAATATAGATTGCGTAGGATGAAAATATAAAATTCTTAAAACTTTGCCTATATTAACAGCACAGTAATGAGAGTGCACAAAAACTAATGTAAGGAAGGGAACAACAAAAATATTAGTAACAGATCGTCTCATAACATAACAAAAGTAAGGTATTTCAAAAGTGCAAATACGAGATCATCATGAGAAAATTTCTTTAGAGTATTTTATTTATGATAATTATCTGTATTTATTTTTTACAACTTTACTGTTTCCATGTATCCAAGGAACAAGTAAACTGCAGTCTTCCGTTGGAATTCAAAGATTTAACACAAGTAGAAACTCAAACCAACGAACAGCCAGAAACAAAAGTTGAACTTAAAGAAGCGTATGTTCAAACTGTGGATCAGGATGTATCAACATCTAAACCAAGAAGTCCAGAAAATCGTTCAGAAATGCGTTCCGTAATTGATGTTCTCAGAGAATGTGCCGAAAATGTTAAAACGATCTTTAGAACTTCTTCTTCTGATTATTCATTACGCAGTAGCTTCAAAAGGCAACCTGAAATTCGATTTGCCACATACACAAGTGAAAAACTAGCTGATATTCCTGATAAATATATTGGGAGTAACAATACGACTTGTCTGGAGCAGCTACCGAAGGAGGAGGATTCTAAATCAGAAACTCTTCCGCATTCGAGCAACTGTCATCCCTTTTGTCCACTGATGAAACCACTTCAGTGTTTGCTTGGGTTGGCCAGACATAAATCAGAAAGCGTCATAACAGTAAGGAACAAGCAACAGGCCATCCTTGATAATATCGCCGCCAGTTTTAAATCCAATGCGAGGGCGGGGCTTCTACAACTGAAGGATTTACAAGACACAAGTAAACACATTACATTTGCTGCGGAAATCCATGAAACATTTCCTATACCGGATACGGATAATTCTCCAGATACGTCAGAAGGAAAAAGCTGCGGATCTTCTAAAAAGGAAGAGGAAGCAGACGCCAACGTAAATGCTACGGCAAAACAAGACACGGAGGGATCACAGTTTCTTTCGAGTTTGGATGTACTCTCTACGGTAAATGAGCAATCAAACGAAGAAAACTCATCTAAATCCACCAACAAACAAAATCGAACACCTTCTACCAATGATTCCAAAAAGTGTGAAGATGACAGTATAGAAGAGTCTTCCGGAAAGAATAAATCTAACTTTTCTAAGAAATCAGATAGATCGTCAAGTGGGTTTGTCAAGAGTCAACCAAAAAGTACAACTTCACAACAGCAATCTTCAAAATCTGCAAAAAGCTTTAAACAACAGAAACAATCTGGTTTACCAGAGAATGAGAAAAAATCTTGTAACTCTTCCACAACTGTTCGAAAAAAATCGGAAATAAACGCGTACGATATTCCTAAGTCGGAAAAATCATTCTGTTCCAAAAAACAAGAATACATAGTTAACTATTTCACTAATGTCAAACCAAAATCAGAAATACCTTTGGAAGATAAAGACCAGAAGTCTGAGAAATCAGCCTCCAACAAAGGCCATAGGTCAGAAAAGTCTGTTTCATCTGCTACACAGAAGTCAAAGACACTTCACAGTGACATCAGCATAAAAGAGGAAACGAACTACAATTCTCAGGTACAATCTCATAGGACCTCCATCGCATGCTTTCAGAAGTATGAAAAGGAACCTGACAATTCCACAACTTCTTCTAATAATGTGAAGACAACGAGTATTGTGGACGAAATCTTACAGAAAGAAATGAATATTATAAAAAAAGAACTGGAAGTCCTCGCCCGTAAATTTAATTGGAAGTCAGGAAAACCCTTGACAGAGGACAAACAAAAGTCAGAAAACTCATTGTCTACAAATGCTCCTCTCGATTCTTTAAAATCAATAAGTAATTGTCCAAGAAACTCCGAATTATCCCTTACCGACAGTGAACAAAAAACAGAAAAAAATATCGAACAACTAACTGAGAGGTCCTTTACAAGGGACGAAAGAGAATCTGAACCCGTAACGGCTGCTAAGGAACAGTTGCAGGTGAATGAAAACTGCTTAAATTTGATTAAAGATTGTTCGCCTAAACATGTAATATCAACCAAATGCAACAGCAGTCCGACAACGACCACATTGAAAGTAGAAATGACTGATACCGAAGGTAAACTTCATCAGATCAACGCAACATTTGAGAGTTCTGACGAACTTCAAGGAATCATAGAGATTGACGACAACTCTGTTGTCCATGTGAAATTGCTGTGTGGTAACGTGTTTCAGCAAAGTGCGATCGGTATTGAAAAAATTTCCGATGATATTGTACAAAATTACGAAATTAAACCATACGGTGAAACGTCGAACGAATCGTGCATAGAGTCCGGTAAGGAAACATTCCAGGAATGTAACATATCTGGGGTTAAAGTTTGTAAAAAGAAAGGAGCTATTGCAGCCAAAGCCTTCTCCGTTACGTCTGTCGTCACTGAAATACCCATGGTCAGAAGTACGAGCAGTCTTGGTATGTGTGCAGAAATGACTGACAAATTAAAGGCAATTGTCACGGAAATGGATAAGAAACTGGAGACGCCGGAAGGAAAGAAAGAAGTACTCGATTCTCTCAGATCATTGTGCAGATTACCTTCATATGAAGATGCAAGTCGTGCAAACAGCTGTTCAGAATGTTAAAGAGTTTTAAATTACTTCAATTAAACTATTAATATCTATAATATTGACGTACGTTACTTATTACATCTTACGTTAAATAAATTTGTTGCCAGTATAAATTGTAAGTATGTACATTTAAAATTATCGTATGTTTGCAATAAAAATAATTTGACATGTACGCAACTGATAACTATGTTATTAAATAAACTTTTACATCATATATTATTAAAATTTCTTTCACACAAGCCAACAAAATAGGGGGTTAAAAGGAAAACCATGATAGGGTAGTCACTTCCGATGTAATTTCAGAATGCTAATTTCGAGGTATCACAACTTCACAAACAAAAAATGATGCAATTCTAGTCCTTTTTCAAAATATCTAATCCTGGAGATAAGAGGACAAAGACACTATACAGGGTGTTTCTTAAATAAGTAGCAAGTTTCGAAGGGGATATGTAATAGAAATCGCATGGTGAGTTCAGCAACGTGATTCATCATCATAAGGTCGTCAGTCTTAAGACTGGTTAGACACGTACCTCCACTCTTTCCTATCCTGAGCTAAACTTCGCATTTCCCTAAAACTAGAACAGCCCACATCCTTAACTTTTTGCGAACAGTAATCTAATCTAGGTCTACCTCTACCCCTCCTAACTCCTGTTTCTGCCTCTAATATATCTCTGACTAGACCTTCATGCCTGAGAAGGTGTCCTACCAACCTATCTCGCCTATTTTTTATTGACTTCCATGGAGTCCTGTGTTCTCCTATTCTTCCAATACCTCTTCATTTCTAACCTTTTCTACCCACGATATCCTCATCATCCGCCTATAGCAACGTGATTAAGGGCGAAAAAAATTTTAAGAAAATTAGTTGCAATTCCAAGCCGGCTCTGGGCGTAAATCGGTGACGTACAGAAAAATTGCGATGACAAGCAGTTACATCAACGGAGAATGTAGACAATGAATGTTGTGTTCTGTAAAGTAAATATTAACGGATTACTACTGCATACGCTCATTGCGATAGAAGTTAATCAAACAACTACTTTGGTTCATCGTTGATAGTATGCAGTACTATTTTTAGTTCACCTCGATATGGGATTACGAACACAAAAGAAAGAAAAAAATTAACGTTACGTCAACATTAATAGGTAAACTAATATCTTCTAGATAGGTAATTGTAATTTTATTAAATTTCCAAAGCACCATTGAGGTATTGTCATGGTGCATTACATTTTTTTACGAACGGTTCGCTATCTTTATGCTCCCATAAAAAAAATTAATTACACGATTAAACACACATACGAACGTATACTACAAAAAATATTTCTGAAAATGAGTCACATAAGAAAGTGTGGCATTTGGCATACGTACTTCATTTGCAGCGACTATACACGGTCGTGCCTGCTAAGGTACGGGACCCTTACGTCCAATCCTGCGTCTAGGAAACTCTTCGTCTACAAACTTACGGCATTGGTCAATGCAGTAATACTATTGTGCACTGACCTTTGACTCTGACGCACTAGGAATGATTTCATACATGCGTATAAGCCTACAGTTTTAAAAGAACAAATAATTACTCTAAACTGGCTTTAAAATAAACACTGTCAATCACACTTATTCTAATTTAACAAGTAACAAACAATGCATAAGTACAAAAATACAAAAGAAATACAACAAGGATGCAGCTAATTAGTAGCTGATTGAATGCAACGTTGCTATATCGTGATCCTACCAGGGCCGGACTAGCCCTTGACTGTACATTCAAATACGATTCTCTCGAAAACGGTGGACTTTCAGACCACAAAAATTTAGTTAATTGTCTTGTTTTATGGTGTCTTATAACCTCCTGTAAGTTTGCTATAACACCCTGTATAGTAAAGTATTTACAACCGTAGAAAGAAACATTGGCTCTGATGGTTGATATTTCAATTTTAATCATTTAGGTTGTAGCTAACTATTCTTCTCTGCTGCAATAAATGTATCAACTGTGTGGTAATTATAAGTGCAGGGTTATAACTGGAGAGTTGGGTTTTTTAACTGTTGTATGGAACGCGAAAAGTTCTATACATTTTGGCAAATTGGCTTCTCACGAACAAGCAGCTGAAACAAGAGCAGTTTTAGTGGCGTTCCACGATCATTAATCAACCCACAAAGGTTACATAGTCACAGACAAAATGCGAAAGGATGCGCTGGAAGCAGGTGTTCGAAATGGTTTTGCAGCTTTTACGGTTTGAAATGAATTACCTACCTGGCCATCCAGCTTATTAATTTACAATTGAGAAATTTGAGCCACATAAACCCAAATGAAATTGATTCATAATTAATTAATTACGCGGAAGCACGATTTGATGGGTTACTACATAGTACTACAGATTTCAGAACGTTGCTTTGAAATATATTCTGCTCAATTTTGTTCCTTATTTTTCGTCTAAATTACATTTTATGTTGGAACGAAGTTCCTCCTCGCAGGTTACGGCGAAAACAAGCGTTGCCAGATGAACTGCTTTTTATTCCCTACATGGAGAGAAAAATTTTACAAAAATTACTAGGCTCGCCACCCTCTAAGCCAATAATTAGAAATAATACTGATCAATAATAGGAGTTGTAGGTAGAGTTTGTTTTGAAACCAATTTACCGACGTTTCGCCCGTGCGAAACTTTTCCAAGGTACAGTTTTCTTAGTTAGGTGAAGATATCTAATCGATGTGAGTGTATAACTGTACACTCTATCTTAAAAATGGTTAAACGTTTAAATATATTTTTAGAACCAAATTTTTGTGGAGAATTTTGTTATACAATTGTCATAATAGATGCAAATGTCATTGAAACCATAGGATATTTGCCATTTTAGTGACCTTTGATCTTGAATATATTAAGACGCGGACACGATATTTTATGTGACTTTTGACACAACTTTTAGAATGCCTAAACAAAGGCTTTTACTATACAGTTTATTATCTCTCATTCCGAGGTCGATCCCTTTCTTCTGACTTAATTGACTGTACCAAAATCGCTACTTTTAAATATTTTTTTTTTTCTAAATTTATAATTCATTTTTGTCGAATAGTATAAGAAAGTTTGTCCCTATTGTGTGTCCAACGATACCAAACAGATTAGGGGAAAAAATATTCTCAACCCGTTGTTGAGAATCAAACCCCATTGGATTATTTTCAATTTAATGTTTAAAAAAACTATTAAATTAATATGAATCTCTTCATATTTATAAAAATGTCTCATTTATTTACTAATATTATACAATTTTAATAGATCACGCATTTATGCATTTTTCATCAATCCTTAATTGGAAGATTTACTGTACTTATAATCGATACATATGGATTATGAGTGTGTGACACACAACAAAAATTATGTTAGAATAAAAATCTGAAAATATTCCATCTATTATAATTTAGACTATCATTTATTCTTAAATACCACCCTACTGAGAAGCAACAAACAAATGTGAAAACGTTTGTTAATATGTTGTGCTAGTGGTAGGTATTTGTTTAAAGAAAATTGTATTCAGGTCGATGGACACGTCTCGCTAACTGCTCATGACAAGCAGATAATAAAGGGTGTCATATTTCCGCTTGGATCATTAGGCTTTTAAAATACATTAAGGTGACACGTACACTCTAAAGGAAATCAATCCTCTGTCGAAATCGCTTTTCCTCTTTCCTTGCCGTGGAAAGTGTATTCCGAGCAGATTAACCGCGAAAAATGGGAAAAATAAATTTTACAGAGGACGTTGACCTCAAACGATGATAGATTGTCAACTACTTCCTTGTATAAATTGGATTTTTAACTTCACTTCCTCTCGTTGTCGTTAAGGAATGACTATCGTTATTATTCGGAATTTTCAACGACGTGAATTCTCATGATTCAATATACTGTCACGTATTTAAACAACTTCTGGCATTATTACTATTTTTATTTATCTAATTGCTGTCTAATCAACACTTCTATTTTTAATTAGTTATTAATTCACCACATATTAACACTTTGTCACTTCTTCGCTCCTTCTTCTTCCCTTTGTATCGCCTCGAACTCGTTCTACTACTGACTCCACTCGATCTCGCGATAACTGTTTATAGAAGCTATTCGTGTTCTAGAATAATCTAGTATATGACTCCTAGAAACCTGATCTTCTTGACACTATGTATGTTGTGTTGCCTACATACATGTGACATCATCATCATCATAAGGTCGTCAGTCCTAAGAATTTAAATGTCACCAGCAGACTTTGGAATTTGAGAACCTGATGCACCTTCCTTGCTTGCTCTGAAGCGCTTAAACTCGTTTATCCAAAGTCGAAAAGTTTTATATTAGATAGGGCATAAGTCGTCCAATGAATTTCCTTTGCTGATTTCCCATTCAGAAAGAAGAACCGCATCGCATTACGACTTCCAATTTTATCTATTTCCAATATATATTTAAGCAACTGTCAGGCAACGAAAATTAGTCTTAAAGTGACTTAAAAGTTCCTATAGAAAGACAAATAGCTTCTCTCGTATAGGCCAAGTAAACTTCAAGTTTTCGGAAGGTCCGCGCCACCACCGGCAGTACCCTGCATTTTCAAGAGTCAACAAACGATAATGGCTTATGCTGTCAAGCAATAAAGGATCCTTTTTGAAATGCTTTCCAGGATCGCGTTTCCTTGTTTACTGCTTAAAAATACGATCAAAAACTGAGCTTGTTTCGTAACATTTCCAAGAAGAATCTGTTTTCGGCGAAAATCTATTTCTAAGGACTGAAAACTTTTGATAAATTTTCTCATTTTAGTGACGAGTCAAAAATATTCTTCGAGATACTCCTGGTGCTTGTTTTCTCATTCCAGTGTTGTTATTGAATATTTCTATCATATATAGGGGCAGTTTCTCGTGGGTATTCTGATTTTCTGACCCTCGAAAACAAAAACTGTACATTTTTGTACATTTCGTTGGTTCCCAGGATTTGTCAATTTCATTAAAATTAAAAAAAAACCAGCAAAGACTGACTGGCAATCCATTTCTTTCGTATGGCTTGTTTGAGATGATAAAAACTTGGGTGAAGACTACTAACACTTTATGAATTCCCTCCTCATTTTTTTTCTTCAATTACTACTTTAACCGAACATGTCAATGAATAACACTATAAAGAAATATTCACAAAAATTCGTGTGCTTTTGACAGATGCAACCGACACTTTGACCATCAGTTAAAACATTTCTGGCTACAGAACAGAA